AATCAAATGCTCCTAAGAGTTTCTACTGATATGTATGATGTAGCTAAAGACATGGTCTCGAGGTGAGGATAGCACAAGGGGGAGAAAACCAAAAGGCTAAGACACAAAAGCTGAGGGACTTACTCAAACCTCCATTCCCTCCACCTAACTTTCCCCTACCTAAATTGTGTATTTCTTACTAGCTGTGGCATAAGCTCCTGACCGTACTCTAAAGCCCCAGCTGGGCCTGCCTCCTTCCCCCAGAGCCATGGGCCCCACAGATCAGGGCCTAGGTAGTGGCCAGAGAAGCCCCTCTCAACAAACTCCTTTCAAGAGTTAACTTCCAGTGTGAGGAAATTCAGGGTGTCTTCACTACTCAATGTCATGGTAACACTGTGTATCTCAAATCCACCTTGTTCCCTTCCATCCCTTTAACATATATATATATATATTTTTTTTTTTTTAAAGTGTCTCATCTGGGCTAGCTGTAAATTCCCCAAGATACAGGGACTAGTTCTGAGTCACCTTCCAAATCCACTCCTGCCTTTCCTTCTTACAGACATTTCAACATATCTTGGGGGGAGCTGCATATGGCCCTAGTTCTCTGGCCTCTTCTGACTTGGAAGGAGCAATCTTGCTTATTTTCCCAAGGATTAGTAGTTCATGTAGCCATGAAAAACTTAAGAGCAGTACTGTAAACTGGGAGAAATGTTCTGAACTCTCTTCCTTAAGAAAACATTTCCTCATGATGGAAAATGCTATCCACACTCAGAGAAAGAACTATGGAGTTTGCATGCAGATCGAAGCATACTATTTGCTCTTTTTTTTCTTCTGTTTTATTTTGTTTCTTCTTTCTTGTGGTTCCTCCTATTGGTTCTAACTCTTCTTTACAATGTGACTAACGTGAAAATGTTTAATAGGAATGTATACGTGGAGCCTATTGAATGCTGTCTTGCAGAGGGAGGCGGAGAAAATTTAAAACTCAAAAGGTTATAGAAGTGAATGTTGAAAACTAAGAAGAAATTAATAAAAATAAATTAACAAAAAAGAAAATAAAATGAAAACATTTCCTTCCTACTTCTCCATCCCTCATGTGGGCTACGGATTCTCACAGAGAACACCATCTCTTACGTCATGGTCCTCTTTGGCCTCCTATGATTTCTCATGGGTTTCAGATCTATGCTCTCAGGAAAGTTGAAGGGTAAAAGTAATCTTTTAAAAAGAGGAACCTCAAACTGAATAATTTAGAAAACCTAATTGGATAAATTGAATTGGCTAGACCAAGCACAGAGGGGAAACACAGTACAAGGGAGTTGGAAAAGCCAGAGGTAAAATCAATAATAGCTGACATTTATATAACACTTTAAGGTATATCAAGTGCTTTGTATACATTAACTCATTTAATCCTCAAAATAATCCTGTGAGGCAAGCATTATAGTTTTTAATATTTCCATTTTACAGATGAGAAAACTGAGTAATTTGCTCAAAGTCAAATAACTAGCATGTGCAAGAGATAAGGTTTGAACTCAGGTATCTCTCCTGACTCCAAGTCCAATATTCTTCCACCAACCACCAGCTCTTCTTAGGGTAGAAAGACTGTGATGGAATAATAGTGGCTCTTAATCATAACACTTCCAAACGTATTCACCTCTCCTCCTACCACTAAAAATTCAATGGAAAAAAATTAATTTAGAGTCATAAGATCTGAATTCAAATCTCAGTTCTGCTGCTCTCTATCTGTGTGACCTTGAGCAGGTGACTTCATATCTCTGGGCCTCAGTTTTCTCATCTGTAAAATGAGGGGGTTGAACCAGATGACTTCTCAGGTCCCTTCTAGCTCTAGATACACGACCCTTTACTCTGGCGGTTGATCCATGATCCTGTCTATGGGAAATGGAACAATTCCTTATCAGACTCATCAATGGTCCAAACTACGCCTCTTCCTGGACACTGAAAAGTAGATACCTGACATACTGTAACAAAGAAATAAACTTATCTGCCACCAAATGATTATCACATCCGTTCTGCTACTTGCGGGCTTTTAAGTAATCAAACATTCCATTCAGGCATTTTATCCCATGATAGGCCAGAGCACCAGCAGCTCATTCAGTTGATTGGCTAAAGTTGTCCTAATAAGGATTTTTCAGAAGCATGACATCAATTGCACATCTGACAGAACCAATGAAGTGCTGCCAGTGCCTCTAGGTAAATTTTAAGAACTCCAGGAGGTCCTGGTGAAGCCACTCAGCCAAGGAACACCAGTCTATTCAACTTGAGACCTAATGGATCAGAAATTGACCATATGCTTCCAGAAACAGGCAGACCGTAGTTCAGGGGACCCCTGTGCAGAAACTGCACATTAGGATAGCCTGGGAGAACGTTACCCCAGATGCCAAAGCACCCATCTAATGCCACCATGTGAATGGCATCCTTTGTACTGCTATAGCTTTTCAAACTCTTAATAAATGTTTATTCCAAGGCTAGTTTGTTCATCCAATGTCAGAAATGTAAACAAAAGTTAAAAGAGATAGGAAGGTGGGGATGATCTGCTGTACAGAAAGTATGCTGCTGCCTCTAAAGACAGAAAAGGAAGGAAGAGAAGAGTGCCCAACTCGTATTCTCCCTCTCTCCCCTCCACCAACCTGCACCAGGACAAACTGGGAGAGTCACTCCCCCTCCCCCTTCTGATTTCTGAATTTCTGACACCTCCATCTCAGAGTGGCAGAAAGAGATGGTGTGAGGAGATTTAGTTTTCAGTCCTGGCTCATCCATTAACTTTCTGCGTGATCCTGAGCCTCAGTTAAGCCTCTGGGGGAGGGGTGGAGCCAAGATAGGGGAGAAAAAGCAGGAACTGGCCTGAGCTCTCCCCACAATCCTTCCAAACAACTTTAAATAATTCCTCAAAACAAATTCTGAAATGGCAGAACCCACGAAAGGACAGGCTGAAGCAATTTTTCAGCCTAAAACAATTTAGAAGGTTGGCAGGAAAAGTCTATAGCACCAGGGTGATAATGGAGCAGAGCAGTCCAGCCCAGGCCATGCCTCAGCAAACCAGCAGTAGGCTTTGGGGGTTATCATGGTGGTAGTGGCGGTTTCCAGACCTCTCAGCCCACAGACAATAAGGGGATCAGACAACTGGTCAGAAGGAGATTATAGAGATTCCTTTGCTGGCACCAGGGGTAGGACTCTGCTGCATTTCCCACACTTGGATCTGGGTCACAATCCTGGCTCTCAGTCCCAGGGCAGAAAAGAGTGCTCATGGTTGCTCACAGATCAAAGGACAGGCCAAGAGAGAAGTAATCCCTATATCATAACACTTTGGAAGAACTGAAAATTTATAGGTCCCCAGAATTATCTCTGAAAACAGCTGCACAAAAAACATGAAGCTTGGGACAGTGCCACCTCCACTATGGAAGGAAAGCCCTATGGTAGGATAGTTAAAAATCTTGACTTTTAGGAGGACCTGAGTTCAAACCTGGTCTCAGACACATAACATTTACTAGTTGTGTGACCCTGGGCAAGTCACTTAACCCCATTACCTGGCCAAAAAAAAAAAAAGACACATGAAAGCTTTTACAGTGGAGAGGTATGAGGGGGAAGATGAGGCGAGCACTTGAACCTTACTCTCACCAGAACTGCCTCAAAGAGGGAATAACATGCACACTCAGTTGGGTATAGAAATCTAGTTTACCATACATGAAAAGTAGGAGAGGAAGGGGATAAGAGAAGGAGGGAAGGCTGATAGAAGGGAGGAGGATTGAGTGAGGTAGAAGTCAGAAGCAAAACACTTTTGAGAATGGACAGGGTGAAAGGACAGAAGTGAGTAGGATAAATGGGGAAAGTGGGATGAAGCTAAATACACAGTAATCATAACTGTGAAAAAAACTTTGTAAAGACCCCATTTCTCTCATATATATATATATATAAAATGCATATATATGTATGAATCAAATTTATAGAAATAAGAGCCATTCCTCAATTGAAAAATGGTCAAAGGATGTGAATAGACAGTTTTCAGATGAAGTAATCAAAGCTATCTATAGTAATATGAAAAAATGCTCTAAATCACTATTGGTTAGAGAAATGCAAATGAAAACAACTCTATCACGATTGGCTAATATGACAAAGGAGGAAAATGACAAATCTTGGAGGGGATGTGGGAAAAGTGAGACATGAATACACTGTTGGTGAAGTGATATACTGATTCAACCACTCTGTAGAACAATCTGGATCTGTGCCCAAACGGCTATAAAACCACACATACCCTTTGACCAAACAATACCACTACTATCCCAAAGAGATGAAAAAAACAAAAAGGACCTATATGTTAAAAATATTTATAGCAGTTCTTTTTAGTGGTGGCAAAGAAATGGAAATTGAGGAGATATCAATCAATTGGGGAATGACTGAACAGGCTGTATATGATTGTGCTGGAATACTATTGCGCTATAATAAACGATGAGCAGGATGCTCTCAGAAAAACCTGGAAAGACATAAACTGACGAAAAGTGAAATGCACAGAACCAGGTGAACAGTGTATACAGTAACAGCAATACTGTATGATGATCAACTGTGAATGACTTAGTTATGCTCAATAACACAATGATCTAAGACAATTCTGAAGGACTTAGAACTTATGAATGCAGATGGAAGCATATTTTTTCTTTAATTTTCTTGGGTATTTTTCTCTGTATTTTCTTTTACAACATGACTAACATGGAAATATGTTTTGCATGACTACACATGTATAATCTATATCAAACTGCTTGTCTTCTCAATGGGGTGGGGAGGGGAGGAAAGAGAAGGAGCAGAAGGATGGAGAGAATTTGGAACTCTAAAATTTAAAAAAGTGCTAAAAATTGTTTTTACATGTAATTGGGAGAAAATATTAAATTAAAAAAAAACCCTCACTAGACTTTAACTTCCTCATCTGTAATAAGAGTGCTAGAAGGTCTAACAAGGGAATCTTTAAATATGAGCAGGTCTGTTTTTGCCCTTTGGCTCAAAGAAAGGAAACTTACCAAAGCTGTAACTTCCAGTAAGCATCTGACTGGCTAGCAATAGGGAGGGAAGAGGAAAAAGTGAAAGAAAATCAACAGAGAAAAGCAGTCAATCTATCACTTGCTCTCCCTCAATCCTTAAGTGCCTCGAGGTGGTCATTGCACAGAGAGAGAGTGAGGGGCAGGGCAGAGACCATCTGAAGTCAAATGTCAGACTTGCCTTTTAATACCTATAGATGATCCTGGGTGAGACACTTACCCACATTGGGTCTTTGTTTCCTCACCCACAAAATGAGAACGGCCTGGATGACATCTCTTGACACCCACTCATTACAGGAGTGGGGCCTCTTCTGGGCTGAGACCTCCCCACCCTACCCCTAGCCACCCCAGAAACAATGTAGAGATATCCAGAAAGAAGTAAACCATGCTCAGGTTTGCTCTCATGGAGCCTGGTCTTTCCATTCAGAAACAGAGTCCTGTTTGTATTCAACTTTTACCCCTCCTACTGCAGTGTTGGTCTTTCCCTTTGGTCTTTGGTGGAAGAAGAAAATAGTGCAATCTTCCTCCTTCGAGAAGGCCAACCATAATTGACTCATTGGTCTTTTAAGTTACACTCAGTTCTAACGCTCCTCTACCCAAGTCTTGGGCAGTGATGAGATGAGAATGGGGAAAATGGAGAGGGAAGGGCAAAGAGGGGAGAGAAAAACAATGAACCCCAATTACCTATGGGCGTTGGCTGGGTCTGGAACAAAGTCTGGCCGGCTGGAGGGATACATCCGATTGTGGAAGAGAAAGGGCTGCTCCCAAAGGCATCAAAGTTGGCAAAGCCTCCATGGGAAGTCCCCTGGCCTGTAAGTAGAGTGAACAGGAAGGTTACACACCAGCAAGACCAGAGCTAGAAAGCAACACTTAAAGGATTTCTGCTTTACCACACAGCTCTCTTCCCCAGGCCTTGTTTTCCTTGACTACAAAATCAGGCAACTGAAATCAATGACCTCAAAGATCCACAATCCCAAGAGTGGACATACCCAGGCATATGCAGACAGAAAGGGACACTTTAAAGAGGCCCAAGTTTTCAGAGCTCCACTTCTTCACAGAAACATTATCAACAAATTTCAGAGGCAAAAGGAACTTTGTTGGCAATGTAGTCTAACCCCTGCCTAACACAGAACCCATTTTACAACAACTTCCAAACATAGTCATCCAGCCTTTGCTTGAAGACCTCCAGTGAAGGGTTTGGATGCATTTCAAAAAGGGTGTTTTTTTTTCCCTCTAGAAATACAAAGAAATACATATTTTTTTCCAATTTAAAAACTCTTTCCAGATCTGTTCTCTTCGTGTGGATTAGATCAAGAACGAAAGACAACATCCTTGTCTATTTTTTTTTAGGCAACTGGGGTTAAGTGACTTGCCCAGGGTCACACAGCTAATAAGTGTCAAGTGTTTGGTCTGAAGCCACATTTGAACTCAGGTCCTCCTGACTTCTGGGCTGGTGCTCTATCCACTGCACCACCTAGCTGCCCCCTAAAGACAACTTTCTTAAGAAAATGGATTAAAATCCTCTAAAGTCCTTGCCTGCCTCAACCCCAGAAAGTGACTGGCCTGTGGGACTCTCAGGAAAGTACTCTGAATAATGGATTCTCTGGTTTAGAAAAGATTATGATACTGATAACAAGAGGGTCCCTATCAGCCTTAAGGGGAGGGGTTAAGGCAAGAACTGAATAGTTCTGGTTGAAGATTAAGTGACTACTGCTATAAAATATTAACCACAAACTGTATTTTAACATGCTGAAATTTTTCTCCTCAGGATCCTTGTAAATATTATCTCATCATCTTGGGGTATGTGTTCAAGGGCATGTACAGAGAAGCTATGCTTCTACAGGCATGGGAATTGGGGATATGCCAAGTTGGACATCTTTCTCTAAACTAGAAATGTCTAGAAACTAGAGTACTATGAAATGGAATAAAATTGTTTCTGGTAGACTAACATTTAGAATACAGAATTAATAATTTTTTTCTTCAACAAAGGGAAACTACTTCCTCCCATTACATTTCTGGACAAGTCTAACTATTAAGAAGTTTTCCCTTTTGTGGCCCATACACTTACCTTCCTGAAACTTCCACTCACTGCTCCCAGTTCTGCATTTTGGATGAGGCTAAGTGGGACAAATCTAACAATAATAATTGGGTATTTTTATTTTTTAATATGAATATGTTGATTATTTTTCTGATGTTGAACCACTCTTACATCCCTGTATAATGATGAAATGATTTCTTTGATGAATTTGTCATCTGACAGGATTTTATTTAAAAAATTTTGAATCAATATTCATTAAAATTTGTTAGGATATAGTTCTTTTGTGTTATATCTTTTCCTGGTTTGGGTACCAGTTTAAGTATTAATTAGGATGGTATTTGTCTCCTCTGGTAGGGTGCTTTTTTCCCCCAATTTTGAGAATAATTTGTGTAGTAGTGATATTAAATGCAAGTTTAATAGAATTCTCCTGTGAATTCAACAGGATCAAGTGTTTTTCCTTTAGTAGTTCCTTTACAGCTACTTCTATTTCCTTTTCTGAGATTAATTAGGAGTTCTATTTTGTGTTCTGTTAGTTAAGATATTTTAAGATAGTTAAGATATTTTTGAAGGTATTCCTCTATTTCTTTTGTATCTGGTTTTGTTAGACTATAACTAACTGTACATAGTAGGTTCCGATCATATTTTTTTATTTCTTCTGGTTTTGTTGTGATTTGACTTTGCCTGCTGTGTTGTTGATTTGATTTTCTTTTTTCTTCTTTTTAATCAGACTGGCTACATATTTGTCGATTTCAGTAGTTTTTTCAAAGAACAAATTGTTAGTTTTACTAGTTCATTGTTTCATCAATATCATTTTCTTTCACATAACTGTTGTTCCTATGACTTGTTCTTTTAGGATTTTGCTGTTAAGTTTCCAACTGTGTCTGTGTCTTTTGTTTGTGCTCTCTAAACTGCTTACTGTTCTTATCATGTCCTGCAAAGGATGTGTTTACTATTTCTTTCTTTTTGACATTCATTTGTAATTTCTCTGTGTACATTCTTTAATACACAAGTAATTTCTCTACATGTTCCATGTGGTGTTAAGAAATACTTATATTCTAAACTGAGGGGATGCTCATCAATTGAGGAATGGCTGAACAAAGTTGTGCTATTTGATTATGATGGAATACTATTGTACTATTAGAAATGATGAGCAGGAATGTTCTCAGAAAAATCTGGAAAGTAACAGCAATATTGTAAGATAATCAGCTGTGAATGACTTAGTTATTCTCAGCAATACAACGATCCAAGACAACTCTGAAGGACTTTATGATGAAAAATGCTATCCATTCCCAGAGAAAGAACTGATGGTGTCTGAATACAAATTGAAGCATACTTCTTTTTTTTTAACTTTATTTTTCTTGGGGGGTTTTTTGTCTATGTTTTCTTTCACAACATAACTATTATAGATATGTTTTGTATGACTATACATGTACAACTTATATCGAACTGTCTTCTCAATGGGGGGGTAGGGAGGGAGGAAGGAAGAGAATTTGGAACTCAAAAGTTTTAAAAACAAATGTTAAAAATTGTTTTTACATATAACTGGGGGAAAACAAAATACAAAAGAAATACATAAAAAAAGAAATAGTTGTATTCTTAAGCAGTCTCATTTGGACATGACATAAGCCTTTTAGCTCTAGATTCTCCAACAATCTGCTCAATTCTGTATTTTCCCTTTTGTTTATCTCTCTGTTAGATTTGTCCAGAACTGAGAACAGAACAACTGAACTCTCTTACCATTACTGTATTACTCTCTATATCTTCTTGTAGTTCAGTTAACTTTTTCCATTTTGAATTTTTATGGTAAGGCACTTGAAGCATAAAAGTTTAATATTGATACTGGTTTGTTATTTCTGGTTACTTCCATCATACTGTAGTTTCTTTGCTCACCCTTTTTTATGTTAACAATAATAAATGACATTTATATTGCACTTTAGGGTTTGCAAAGCACTTTACATACATTATTTCACAAGAACCTCAAACAATTCTATGAGATAGAAACTATTTTACAGACAAGAAAACCAAAACTCAGGGAGGCTAAATAATTTTGCCCACAGTCACCCAAGGAGTTAAGTGTCAACAAGACAGGATTTGAACAGTTTTCTGTGTTTCTGTAGTCTTTCTGCTATATTATTACTTCCTTTGACAAGGACCTTTCAGATCCTTAAAGAATGCTACTATTTCCCCCCGAGTCATCTCTTTTCTCTGCTAACCATCCCCTATATAGTGTTATAATCAAGTTCCTCTCTACCTTAGTATCCTTCCTAAAGTGTGGTGCTACAAACTGAACACAAAGCTCCAGACTATGGTCTGACCATTAGAACACAATAAAACTATAAGTCAATCAACAAGCTTTTACTAAATGGGTTCTTAAACTTGGGGTCTGAGAATTTAAAAAAAAATTTATTAACTGCATTTTAGTAAAATTGATTTCCTTTTAATTCTATTTTATTTTTACAAATTTAAAAACATTATTCCTAGAAGGGGTCTACAGGCTTTAGATCGCCCAAGATGTCTAGACACACAGCAGGTCAAGAATCGCCACCCTAAGGGCAGCTAGGTGGCACAGTGGATACAGTACTGGCCCTGGAGTCAGGAGGACCTGAGTTCAAATCTGGCCTCAGACACATAATACTTACTAGCTGTGTGACCCTGGGCAAGTCACTTAACCCCACTGCCTACCAAAAAAAAAAAGCATCACTGCCCTATACTTCTCTCAAGGCACTTATACTCTAGTGGGGAAACACAATATTTCCATAAACATAGGCTATAAATATAACAAGCAGTGAAGGAGGAGGGGATTCAACAGCTATGAAAGTCATAGAAGGTGGTACCTGAGCTAAGTGCCAAAGGGAACTAGGGATTCAAAGAGATGGAAGTGAGAAGTGAGAGCATTCCAGATAGGAGGGACAGAAAACCTTTGTGAAGGTATGGAGTGGGAAATGGAATCTCCTGTACAGGGAACACCAAGTAAGCTAGTTTGACTGGAGCATAGAGAACATGTGGGGGAGTAAAGTATAATAAGCCTAGAAAGACAGGCAGGTTGGAATTTAATTGTCAAACAGGGTTTGTAGTTTATCCTGAGGTAATGGGGAAACAATGAGCTTCCTGGGCAGAAAAGTGTCATGTTTATCCCTGTACTTTAGATATATAATTTTGGCAACTGCATGGAAGACACATTAGATAGGAGACAGTCTTGAAGCAGAAAGATCCATTAGGAGGCTACTGTCCAAGCAACATGGGATGAAGGCCTGGATGGGATGGCTGTGGTATGAGCTGAGAGAAAGGGACTGACGAAAGAAACACTGAACACATAACTTCAACGCTGCAAACTTGAGTGTCTGGAAGAATAGTGTTTCTCTTGACAGAGTTAGGGAAGTTAAGAGGAAATGAGTTTAAAGAGCAAGATGAGGTCTGCTTACGACATGTTGAGCTTGAGATACTTATCTAGGTGGATAGGTCAAGTAAGCCACTAGAGAAGCAAGACAGGTGCTCCAAAGAGAGAAGGGGAAATGGATGTGCAGATCTGGAAATCATCCACACAGAGATAATAGCTGAGAAATCATGGGAGCTAAAGAGATCACCAAGAGACAGGATATGAGGAAAGAAGAAAGGGTACATAACAAAGCCATGAGGCAGAACATGATTAAACTGCAAAAGAAAGAGAATGAATGGTCTGTCCAGTAGAAAGAAAACTATGACTAATAAGTGTCATGAAAACCCAGGAAAAGAGAGAGAGAAGGACAGAGTGTTCAACAGCACTGAACACTGCAGGGAGGTCAAGAAAATTGAGGACCAGGGGCAGCTAGGTGGAGCAGTGAATAGAGCACCAGCCCTGGAGGCAGGAGGACCTGAGTTCAAATCCAGCCTCAGACACTTGACACTTACTAGCTGTGTGACCCTGGGCAAGTCACTTAACCCCACTCCTAACCAAAAAAAAAAAAAAGAAAGAAAGAAAAAGAAAAAAGAAGGATGAGGACCTAGAAAATGCCATTGGATTTAACAGTAAAGTGATCACTGAAGACCTTGGAGACTGTAGTTTTAATTGTAGACAGGAAAGTGAGACTTCAAGGAGCTGAGAAATGAGTGGGAGGGGAAGAAAGCAGAGGTAAGGAATATAGAAAGCTTTCTCTCAGAGTCTGGCTGTGAAAGGGAAGAGAGAGATAGGAAGATAGCACAGGCACCAAGGTCAGGTGGAATAGACTGAAATGGATGCTGAACTTCACTACAAAGGAGAAAAAATGACCTGACAGCCCATCAATAACCAGGATCTGGGTGGTTATTTTGGATGAAGTGAATCTCAAAGGAGGAACAGTAGATGAGGAAAGCTGGTTAAGGAAAAGGATACGTAAATGAGAAACAAAAAGCATCCTTCTCCCCCTCCTAGCCGACTATGTCAATGGGGATGAGAGATAGTACAACCAGACAAGGGTAGTCAGGAGTGCTGTGCCACTGAGGAGAGGTTTCTCAGATGGCCAGGAGATAGAAGGACTGTTAAGAAAATCTAATCTCAAATGTAATTTGTTAAAAAGAGAAAGAAGGTTCCTCAAGGCACAATGGATGGAAAGAATAAAGTTGGAGAGGGACCTAGGAAAAATGTAAGAGAGTAGGGAGCGTTGGCCAGGGATGGGAGACCGAAGAGTCTAGTCCAGGGGTGGGGAACCTGCAGCCCCAAGGCCACATGTGGCCCTCTAGGTCCTCAAGTGCAGCCCTTTGACTGAACTCAAACTTCACAGAACAAATCCCCTTAATAAAAGGATTTGTTCTGTAAAACTTGGACTCGGTCAAAAGGCCGCACCCAAGGACCTAGAAGGTCACATGTGGCCTGAAAGCTGCTGATTCCCCACCCCTGGTCTAGGCACTCTTCTACTATGAATCACAGGGATTGTGAAGAGAACAACAGAGCACAAGATTACTATGCCCTTTCCAGTAGTAATGGTAATGATGAACTGATTACTATTCCCAAACCAAGAGGCAGAAATTAGGGATAGTAGAGGTATTGAGGAGAGGGAGAGAAAGGTGGCCTGGGCCCTGCTATACTGGTGAGATGAAGCTGGACCTTGGGCTGGCTAGATATGGAGAACTAACCTCCTCCAACCCAGAAGAGCTCTAATTTAGGTTAAGTTCCAAGGCTTCATGGATTAATTCACCCTGGGTGGGAAGGCAGAGTCCAAAGGGCTCCTATTCCTGGCATCCTATCCTCTCCCTACTGGGCATTATGTAGCCTACAACAGCATTAGCTTTTGGGCACAGTGTTGACTCACGTTGAACCTATGGTTCACTAAAATTCCTGGATCATTTTCACTGAAAATGCCATTTGGTCATGATTTCTCCAACAGGACAACCCAATAAGGTTGAATTTTTGAGCCCAAGTGCAGAACTTCACATTGATCCCTATTAGATTTCAACTGATCCACTTCATCTTTACCAGTTTAGCCCCTCTATGTCATTTGGAACCCTACTATCTATCATTCAGTGGGTCAAGTTAGCTGTAACTCCGTTTCATGTCACGTTGCCCCCCAAAATCCCGGTCTGACTCAGCATGTTTTTACAAGATATGGAACCAGGATTTAACAGAATCAGATGGGTTTGGGTGGGAGGTGGCGGTGGAGTAAGGCAGAGAGGCAGATAATACTCTTCAGCCTCCACTGGCCAATACAATGAGACAACAACCTCATCATTCCTCCTTCAAACCACGTGCAAAGCAAGAGAGGACAAAAAGGGAATAAAAAGACGAAGATTATTTTCAGAAGTTTAAGAGGAAGCTCTGGGACTCCTCCTGCTTTTATTTAGTTCCTCCCCTCAATTTATTTAGTACCTCAACCCAAGCTCCCAGTATTATGACCACTTTTTCTTCTTCTCAACCTTTCTCCACTAACCAATATAAAATTACTAGAATGTGTTGTCCCCTCCCCAACTAATTCCAAGATCAAACAAAATGCAAGTTACCCCAAAGGAATGGGTTATACCTACACCTGATGTGTTCTGAATACATGAAACTGTTTTTGTTTTTTAAAGTCTGGACCCAACTTACCCCCAAAGACAGCAAAGTTCGATGCGGGTTGGGGAGCAGCAAAAGGGTCTCCACCAATGTCAGCCAGAAGGTCAGTGCTAGCTTTCTTGACTGGAGGGAGGGTGGGTGGTTGAGAGCATGGGTGCTGGGAAAGACGAGCCTGAGGGACAGACTAGAGAGGAATGAATCATAATAACTATGGAGCCAACAATCCTAAAAAACCCCCAGGACTTCCTCTAACTTTGTATTGTCCTAACCCAGAGAGAAAGATGCACTGGAAATCATGTGGTCTCTGTACTAAGAAAATTTCTGGGAGCAAGACAGGATGGTTTCCTTTATATTCCAGTTTCTAAACTCATAGGCTCTTAGGCTAGGGCCTACATAGGAAAGGCAACGGCCTCAGTGAAACACTGTTGGCAAACAACACAGTATTCAATTCCAGCTGTGGCTATTATCAACCAGATTTCTGCTTTTCCCGAGTTGCTGAAGAAGTTTCCCCTTCTACGGCTCCCTCCAACTGTAAAATCACTAAATCTGCTCTGACTTTCCTCCACCTTACTTTCTGCTAGTTTATTCCTTTTTTTTTTTCTTCAAACAAGGGTAATATCCACGGATATTTTTTAGTAGACAGTGACACACAAGCAGAGTTCATAGTAAAGGTTCTGCTCTGCTGCCTTGTCAATCAAACTAGAGGATTCAAAGACTGAAACTAGATCTCTATCTTCTTACCCTCTATAAATTAAGCTTTTGTATCTGACACCTACCTGGCTAGCACTGGAGATGGCAACAGAGGGCACAGGGTCCCCAAGAAGTGTCCTCAGGGGCTTTACATCTGGAGTGGAATCTTGGGTAGGGGTAGAGGTGCTGCTTTTGGTGTAGGATGGCCCCTTGATTTGGTCTGGGGGGACATACCTTCAAGGAACAAACAGTCTAAGTGGAACAAGGAGTAACACCTTATAGTATCCCCAGTTTATGTGATCCTTCAACTCCTAGGAAAGCAGACATTACAGTATCTGAATCAAATCATGGTATTTTCAGAGTTGGAAGAGAATTTAGATATTGTCTAGTACAACCTCTCAACCAGTGCAAGAGATGTCAAACATTTGGCCTGCATGAGTGAAGCCCCAAGTGAGTCCTAAACCAGATTTAAATTGGGAAATATTTAACAAGATAAATAAAAATACAAGAGAACATAGATAATATTACACCTTAAAACCAAATCAATATGCAGTCTGCAGGGATCCTTAGGCAGAGATTAGTGGCCTCCCTTTTTATTTGAGTTTGATACCAATGACCTAGAACATTTCTGACAGGTAGTCATTCAGCTGCCACAGAAATACTTTTTGTGACAAGGAATCTACATAAGGACAATAGTGATAATGAGCATCCTCTTCATCCCAACACTCTGAGGCACCTGGGTTCTAAATGAGTCCCTACCCCAAAATGAAACACCTCAATTCTGATAGAAATATTACCATATTCACCAATGTAGAAACTCCCCAACTTTTTCCTATAAGGGCTTCTTTTTATATCTCCCCTCTAATTCTTTCCCACAGGCAGGGTTTCTATCATATCATCATTCCCAGGCTTCCAAACTGTGCATCTCCGTATTTGTCACTCCAGCTCATTATTTCTACCTCTAATTATCCCCTTTTGCCTCTGTTGCATATACTTTACTTTTAGTAACATCACCTAATCCAGAGCATTTCCCCAAGACTAGGGGTTCTTAACCTTTTTTTGTATCATGGCCCTTTTTGGTAGTGTGGCAAAGCCTATAATCCCCTTTTCAAAATAATGTTTATTGCCTACATTCATAATTAAAGAAAAGGCTAACTTCAACTAGAGGTTAGGAAAAATAAAGGTGTAAATTTCTCCACCCCCCACCATTCAAGTTCATGGACCCCTTGAAATTGAAGTTTGGATCCCAGGTTAAGAAGCATTGTCCAGAGGACAGCACATCTAAAATACTGTTCTATTCAAATTAATCTGCATTCTTCCACTTACCCTCCAACTAGTAATCAAAACAGAAAAAAAAAATTGACCTTGGAGAGAAAACTGAGAGAAAGCTGTTACAACATGGCTTTCTTCTTTGAGAAAACAATAATTTGTAATGATTTGTAAGGGGAGGAAGGAGGTAAATACCATTAAATTTAATACCATTAAGAAGGTACTAAGATAATGAAGGTTCAGACTTCACCTGATAAAATACCTGCCTTCAATTTCTCTCTCCCCACAAAAGATAGCAACTTGGTATGAATAAAGACACATTGCTGCCTACATGTTCCCACCATTCTAACTAATCCATTTGCTCTGTTAAACTTGAGGAACACCAATTGTATGTGACAAATGACTGAGGACAGGAAATACTGTCCTTCAGCAAAGACTGGTTCTGTAGAATTATGACAGGACTTAGCTATGATTGAATCTATAAAGATTTAACCAAAGCTTCCAGAGAAGCCCCAAATTTATATCTAGAAAGAGAAGAATATATACCACACATAATCTATGTAACTGTTTCCTCCCTCCTCCATGATTACCATCGTTTCTTCTCATATTTCTCCTGAAGAAACTCCTTCACCTTTTGAGGGTCCCTGGAGTCTGGGACTAAGGAGGTTTGTGAATCAAAGAGACCCAGCCAGATCTTCCTGCAAACCTGTAGTACAAGAGGATACACAGGTAACACAGGCGCTAGAGAAGACAGCTTAGAGTAAAAAACACAAATACCTCCAACCAGAAGCTGAAAAATTTTCAGTATGAGCATTTACACCTCGGAAATTAGCAGATGCAGAGCCTGATTTATTGTTGTGTTGATTGTCTAGACTTAAGAAAGCACAGAGAAAACATTAATGATACAGATTAAACTTAAAAGTGTGTCATTTTTTCCCCCCAGAGAACTGTTGAACATTTATCAACATAATGATGCCTCTAATGGTCTTGAGAAGTGTGTGGTTTTGGGGCTGATCAGAGGCCCTTGTCTTCAAGATCCAAGTTCCTCATACTGGTCAGTGAAAGGAACACAGATACTACTAACAAGCATTTCTCTGGGCGTAGTTGAGGAAGGAGGAAGAATTTACTTTGCAAAAAAAAATTGAATGCATTAAGAATCTACTATGTACAGAGCACCATTCTGGGCACAAGAGGAGACACAGAGTCTAGAAAGAATCTTTTAGCTTTTTCTGACAATTTTACCTATGTCATCTTGATTTTTTAATGTTTTAGTCTCTTTGGAACTATGCAACAGATCTAATTCAGCAATCTTAAATCTTGAAAAAGATATAGAAAAATATCCAGGACAGTTTATGAGTTATTACTTACTTATGGTGATTATCTGTCAATGTATTCAATCTAACAATTTTTTTTAAATAATCCTCTTATACTTTTTAAAAGAGGAATCGAATGTCAAAACGGTGACATTTCTCAACTGTGTCTTGAATAAAGAACCTATTCTTGGTTGGTTCAAGTTCCACAAAAATAATCTCTATAAGAATCTAGAAAACTTGTTGGGGTGGGTTTCCATGCTTTTATCAACAATTTAGCCAGACCCTTTACCCCATTTCCCAGTTTAATACAGCTCTGATCATGGTATTGGGTACTTGTGAGTAATGGTCAGGTTTTAAGAAACTAGTCTATCAGGACCCAATGGTCAAAAAAGAAAAGGCCAGAAATTTCATGTCACACAAGCATAAATAATACCTACTACCTTAAAGCTGGGGCATCTAGATTAGGTATATTTTCCTGTATAAAGGGAAAACTACAATCATTTCTAAAGGGGTCACCTAATCCAATCCTTTCATTTAACAGATGAGGAAACTGAGGCCAAGAGAAGTTGTCTTTTAGGTGCTAAGTGGAAAAGACAATTCTTCCAACCAAATCAATTATGCTCAGGAACAAATGAATCTTTTTAATTCTGCAATTACAAAAGAAAGAGAAGGAAGCTGAAATTTAGACACAGATACCTCTTTCCAAAGAGTAAGTTTCATAAAAAGGGTTTTATACCTTACACCAAAAGGGAACAAAATGTTATCAATTAAGACACTTTATGAATTGTAGAGGGGCCAAGAAGAGGGCATCTTCAAAGGAAAGGAACATCAAACAAAGGACAGCTGTCTTTGCTTCCTGGAACTATTTCACATTCTTGTTATCAGCAAGGTCTGGTAGAGTTAGGACAAAGAACCTCTCAAGCTTACAAATAACATTTTGAATTCCTGCTGTTCAATTGAGAATTGGAGCTTTTTATGTCTTCATCAGCGACAGAGCCAACAGGCAAGTCCTGGTCCTTGGACTCTAAGCCTGGTGGGCCCTTTCCACTGTACCATATGCTCCCTCCTTGGAATAACACTGATCCTCAGAATTTAGTTTTATGCATAATGAATTCATTTTCTTTTTTTATTATGAGCTTGACAAAAATCAGACACGAACATTTCCATATATAAAAAACTGAAAAATGAATGTATATGACACTGAGTATATTACTTACAGTTTGTTTTGTTTTTTTTCTTTGAAAGCACATATTAAATTTAACCTAGCAGTCTCAGCACTATCCTGCTTGTCTGAGTCCTCTTGTTAACTTTCTTCTGCTCTCTTCCACGTATGTTTTAAAATGTTTCACTGTCACTTTTTTTCCTTTCCTTTCCTTTTTTTTCTCTTTTTTTTGGGGGGTGCAATTAATTAACTTAAAGCAAATGATTTGAATTAGCAGTAGGCCCAAAAAAGTAGAACCCATATCTCATTTCCCCAATACCTAAAAACAGGCTTCCTTCTATGCTCAGGCTACATGAAAACACTAAGAATTCAACAGTTTCTCTACAAAGGGGTTCAGACTTATCTCCTTTCCCCTGTCTGTACCCCTAATGAAGGACAAACTATAAACTATATCATCAATAATTTGCTGGACATCTATGAACAAATAACACAACTGTACCTTAAATCCAGTGAAAAAATAATAAGGGGAGAAGTATGGCCTCAAAACTCCAAGGAAAACACCTATTAGTATCAAAACCTACTCAAATCAGGACAGAGCCAAGATACAGGAGTGGTAGGAAGCAGGGTGGTGAATTCTTATCCACAAACTCCTCCAAATAGATCTAGAAAATACAGACTGAATATTGATGAAGATATCCAGAAAAAGTCATAGTAAGATCTTTGTTCAGCACAGTTCAACACAGAGAGGCAAACAAGGTCTTTGGACACTGGGGATGGATTCTGTCTGGAAGTATGCAGCATGTGGAGCACTCCAACAAGCAGACAGAGGTTGTGCATCAGAACAAGAGGAGGTACCTGACCCAAACTGGACCACCTGCAGACCCATAACAGGTAAAAACAGGGACAGAGGTGAATTGGCAGTTTTGTTACCACCCATTTCTGGGTCATAGATACAGGGCAGACCAAGAAAGGGACCTTTGTACAAGGGTTGTATTTCCAGGAAGGGAGGCCCTGGGCACAGTGTATGGAGAAAGAAGGAAGTTCAGAAGCCAACAGCAGCAGTGTAGCTCAGAACCCAGACTCAGATCAGCGTCTCACTTCAAGCACTTAGACCAGCCTGTAGCAGAATAACCAAGGGCAGGAATCCCAGACCAAAGCAGAGCCTACACCTCTGTCACTCTGAACCAAAAGGGCTTTCCAGCTGGCTAACAGGGGCTAAGTCCAACAGCAGTCTACTCTTGCACAGAACCAAAGAAGTCAGGGGACCTGCAGAGGTCAGACCAAGGGAGGTAACAATCAGATGTTGCCCTGATCAGACCACTCTGGGAGCACTGAAAGCTTTCAGGTTTCCCACCTGTCCCTGAGATCCTAGAACAACACAACACTCAATACTTCAAGAAAGCAACAACAGGATAGGCCCAGAAGTGTTGCAGAGCTCAACCCTAACATTAAATCCAAAGCCAAAAAGTTGGCTGCAAGAACTAGCAAACAAAAAAAGGGTACACAAGTAAACATCTCTATAAATGGGGGAGGGGGGGGTTGGGGGGGTGAAGAAAGAGCAGCTGACACTGAAACCAAACTCTTAACTGAAATCTTCAAAAGAAAGAACACACACACACAGAGTCGAGTCCAGAATTACAGTTCACTCAACAGGGAAATAGAAGGGAAAGAGGAGAATATGAGGGGGGGATTAGAAGGAGGGAAGATTATGAAAGGGAGTAGTCCTAAACAAAACAAAGTCTAAGGATGTCTTCTTTTTCTTCTTCTTCTTCTTTCTTTTTTTTTTCCTTTTTTTTGCTTTTTGGTGAGGCAATTAGGGTTAAATGACTTGCCCAGGGTCATACAGCTAATAAATGTCAAGTGTCTGAGGCCAGATTTGAACTCAGGTCCTACTGACTCCAAGGCCAGAGCTCTAGCCATTGCACCACCTAGCTGCCCCTTAAGGATATCTTTTGCCCTTTTTTGTATCCCCAGCACTTAGCACAGTGCCTAGCACATAGTAGGCATTTAATAAATAACTGATTGAGTAGATTAAAAAAACATTAAAGCTCTTTTTGAGGTATCAAAGAATAGGAATCAGAAAGGGAGGCCCAGAAATTCAGGAATGAATGAACAAGATATGGTATATAAATGTGATGGAATAGTATTGTGCTGAAATCTTATCTACGTAAAAAGAGATCTTAGAATATAATATTCCAAATGGCTGAACACTTATAAAAAATAATAATTTACCCTGTCAAAGATGAGAATAATCCTACAGGGAAAAGAACAGACCCTGAATAGAACAGAGGACTTAAAAGCACTTCTGGTGAAAAGATCAGAGCTGAGTAGAACTTTTAAAATACAAACACAAGAGTCTAAATAAACCTAAGAAAGTAAATTTATTTCAGCAACAGGAATGAGCTGAATATTTTCTAATAATTGAGTGGCTTGAGAAGAAGAGTACACAAACACAGAAGAAGAGGTAACAGAAGTGGGCACGGGATGAATCTCACTCTTATCTAAAATGGACAAAGTGTTGAACATACACACATGGGTTTGGTATAAGACTACATCAAACTCAACACAGGAAGAGATGGGAGGGGTTAAGAAGGAGGATAATGGCTCAGATTCTCATAATCTAGCCAATAGCTCACTAATGTTCAGACTCCTTAATAGTCTGCCCAACATGACGGATGTTCCAATAAACCTTGTCTTTGGCTGAAAAGAAAAAAGGCTTGGGTCGAATTCTTTCAGACAGAACCCACGTTTCCTGACTTTGGGGTCCCAGCACCTTTAAATCCCTAAAGCTCAACATTTTGGTGGCCTGTATGGGGAAACTGCCTAACCCCAAGTTCTTCTCCAGCCAAGACTAGAAGGCATAGAAGCCTCTCTCCTCCCTTTCTTGCTCTGCAGCTGAGGTAGCTCTCTAAGCACCAAGGTTTAGAGGTGCTTTTCAGGCAGTTACAAGGTTGTCTCACACTCAGCCTGACCTCTCAGGCTCTCGGTCCACTGGTTCAGTTCAAGGCCATGGACCTGAGTATACTTTCGGCAGCATAGAGGACAAAGACGGACTCCCTATCTGAAAGCATATGCCCAATTCTGTCAATTCTTTCTTCGATAGGGAATTGGGGAAAACTACAGTTGCCTTTTGGTTCCCTGAGGCTTACTAACTGCCCTCTATACTCCTGAATCAGGAAAAATTAGAACAGCTAAAAATATCTTAGCAGATTCTGGAGGTTTTGTGATCAATCATTAAGATGTTTTGAAACTCCTCCTTACAACCTTCATCACTCCTTTCTTCCACTCCCTTCCCTAGAGTCAAGAGGGTATCTCTTAATACCTTTCATAGGAGAAGAAAGTTTTACCCTTTACTCCTCACCTTTGATTTCACCCTCCCCCACTTGGGAAAGGAAGGAGGGGGAGGGGCAGCAGCTACAGCTTGCACCCCCCTGGCAATTGCCTTGGGCCCTGGGGCAACCTTTGCCAGGAAGCATCACCCAGGTTCACTATGTCCTGGTCCTGCTTTAGGTAAAGAAACTAGCCTCTGAACTTGGGGAAGCATGTTCTTTTAAAATTGTAGTTTTAACTGTTAATGATGAGATGTTGATTCTCTATGTAAAGTAATTTGGAAATGCATTTAACAAAACTCAAGTCACCTGACTGGTAATGGGTTTGTTTCAAGTTTCAAATTGTTAAACTTTTTGTATCAGTTATGTCAAGCAACTTCGTAATTTGGTTACCGATAAAATAATTTCACTGTTGTTGGTTACTGTTTTAATTGTAAACTTTCCAAAAAGCTTGTTTGGGTTTTGTCTTGCTGAGAATTTGCAAGTATATAGAAATAATCTTTAATGATTAGCTTTTCACACCAGGAGAAATTTAAGTTTGAGATGTAAATCCTGGAAAAGTTTTTCCTAATCTATGATTAGTGGAACTTGCTATATGAGACAAAAGCTCATAGGATTTTATTTTTAGTTGCCTGATGGATCATAATAATCCATCAATAATCAATAATCCACCATCTGAGAGAAATGCCACAAGCTACTCAGAGAGAATGTGATACTGGTGGAAAGTCAGCATCAGGAAAAGCTGAGAGGGCAATTTTAGTCTCAGTCTAAGATAGGATCCTCCTGGCTCAATTTCCCCATTATGTTCCTTTGAAAAGGAATGTTACCCACCTGGCTATTCCTGAGTCTGGCAGATTTATGTCTTCCAGGCTACAAGCCATTCACCTGTAGCTGACAACAAATTTTGAGTACCAGCTAACGTCCCCTCATTGTTCCCTGGACGCAGCCTGTACTCAGTTCCAGTCAACCTCCTCTTTGGGACTCCCTCAAGGAAGGGATAGCTCTACACCCCTTGCCAACAGTAAGCCGTTTCAGAAGCTGAGATCTTCACCCCTTACCCCAAAAAGAATTTGGGTCTCATTTGTTTGAGGGGGGAATGATAAGGATGGGATTTAGACCCCAAAAAGGAAAAACCCTGGACTTTCTCACATGACCAAATCTCAGGCTTTTGCCTGAAGCTATAATCCCATCAACTGGTCTTTCATTGTGGCTATGCCCTATCTCCCAATTCTCTGTTAACCCTTAATCTAGCCTAGCCCTCCACTGTTTTACCTCCCAATGGCTCCTGGCCACTTCCCACTCTTAATCTTATCTAGTCTCCATTCTCCCTAGACCATGTGGTCCAGGTCCCTGGTGTTCTGTTCACCCCAGCTTATTGGCCACTCCCATTCAGATCTTTCTTAGACCTCCCCTCCAATCACCTAAACTACTCGGCCATTCCTAGATCCCTCCCACAGTCTTTCTGTATATAAGGTCCATCTTGTCCCCATTAAGGTGCTCAGATTCTTAAAATCTAGCCAATAGTTCATTAATGCTCAGCCTTCTTAAGAGTCTGGCCAATATGACAGATGTTCTAATAAACCTTGTCTCTGGCTGGGGAAAAATTTAAAAAAGGAGGATAACACTAGAGAGAGAATAATCACAGAACCAGGAGAACAATTTATACAATGACAACATTTTAAAGAAAAATAACTTTCAAAGACCTAAGGACTCTGATCAAATTAATGACTGAATCACCAGAAGACCTATCACGAAGCACGTTACCCACCTTCCAATAGAGAAGTGATGGACACAAGGTTCAGAGACATACATTTTTGGAAGTGGCCACTTTGTGGATTTGTTTTGCTTGATTATACTTATTTGTTACAAGGAATTTTTTTCACCTTTCTTTCAATTTCAGTTAATTGAGGAGTGAGAGGGGGAAAGGTAAGAGTGAATGAAGGACTAGCAATAGTGATACCAAAAAATAAGGGCCATTTAATTGTTTTTAAAAATACACCAAAGAAAAGACATTCTAAAGGAAGCACAGACAAGCAGGGAAGTCTTGAAAGTAACATGCAAATTTTACTTTTTTTGAAGCAAGCAGTTTGAAATGGAGATTCAGTTTCATATAAAATCCTACTTTTGTATTAAGCTATGTGTACAGAAATGTTCCCTTTTTTTTGGCATTTAAAAATTCAGAATAAAAAAATTTTTGTCCTTCCCCCAAAAATAGACAAGAAAATTTTAACCAAAAGAAAAAAAAATGTCGTAACTTCAAAAACACAGAAACTCTTCATAATATGCTTCAGGCAAAGCCAAGGCCTTCTAATAAAATGTATCTGTGGCAACTCACCTCATTTCCACGAGACTGGAGGAACATCACTTCAGGCTCAGTAAAGGTTGTCATGGAGATGGATTTGACTCGGTGAGGGGGATTCAGGCCTCTCCTGTGTGAGGAAAAGCAAGAGAGATATAATGCGATTAGCACTGCCAGGCTGCTTATAGGGAGAGGAGAGAGAAAAGGGTGACAAAATTAATTATGGAAGGAAGAAAGAAAAAGGAAGGAAGAGTTGGAAGAACGCTAGTGAGAGCCAGAGAGAGGTTTAGAAAAAGAACGGCCAAGAACATTTGAGGGTCTGTCACTCTGGAGGGAAAACAAAGAATCGCTTATCCTTTTTTTTCTGCAGGCTGGCAGACCAACATCTCTAGTGCCCTACCTGTGAGCTGTACAACACTTCTGGGAACATGGACAACCAGATTCCATTTTTCTCAATTTGTCTGTATAGCACTTCAGCATCTGAAGACTAAAACCTGGTAAAATCACATTCCGATGGCATTATGGTCATGCTAAAAAGGCCCCAAATAGCTGATCTGGTAATAAACATGAAAACTTAGAGGGTTTTTTGCTGCCCTTCCCCAGGTTCTACTTTCCCAGCCCTCACAGCAGGTAGGTGGTCTTTCACCAGCCTCCTTCATTACTAGATCTTACTATGAAGCACTAGGGAACTTATTTTCATCCAGCAAGATCTAAACACCTTTTTGGCCTATAGGAAGCTAGACCCATGCTTTTAGCTGAGATGCTTATATCACTGCTGTGTGCTGTGTGTCCCTGGGAGTTCAACTATGGTCAAAGGAGTCCTGTGGAGACCACATGGCTGATGGGATGGTATTTTCTTGAGGCCACAAAACCAGTTCTTCTGGGGGAGGTGTTCTAACTGGAAAGACACAGGAATTCTCTCACACCCTCCTACCAGTCCTATCTTAAATCTGTTATTCTGATAACATATTAGAATAAAGCTAGGCCGTGGGGCAGAGAATGGGCCACTACTTTATTTGCTTCTTCCTAGTAAAAGAAAAATTTCTTTTTCCTATTCTACCTCTAAAATGTTTTAAAGCACAGAAATGACTGAGAGAGACAAGGAATAAGTTAGAGAAACAATCTCAGATGACAGAATGTAAAATAAGAGAAAGAAAGAAGGTTTTAAATCCCCTAAAAACTTGGCCAAAAATCTGATACTAAAGAACAGATATAAGAATGCATGTGCCTCCCCTTTCTTACATAAGGAAAACTCAACGTACCGTCAAGCCCGTGTTGATGTTTAACTGAGAAAGATTTAGCTACTATGATCAATACAATGATCCATGACAATTGCAAAGGACTTGGGATAAAAGATGCTATCTACCTCCAGGGAACTGCTAAACTTGGAATGCAGATAGAAGCATATTGTTTTTCCCACTTTATTTTTTCTTGTCCCCTCCCCCCCATATGGAAATATGTTTTGCATGACTTCACATGAAGAAAGGGTATCATATTACTTACCTTCTCAATGTGGGGGAGGGGCTTAAGGGAAGGAGAGAATTTAGAACTAAAATTTTTTTTTGAAAATATATAAGAAATGCAAAAAAAAAAAAGACTGTATTGATGTGTTGGTTAGTTAGCTGAATTGCATTTTTCTTCCCTGTGTTTTATTCTTTGTTATAACGGATGGCTGTCTAAGTGGGGGAAAGAGAACACATTGGGAAATAAAAGTGATACAATAGCAAAATACATAATAGAAAAAAAATAAGTAGGAAACATTTGGCCAAATCAAGACTTTTTTTTTTTGGTTTTTTGGCTAGGCAATGGGGTTAAGTGACTTGCCCAGGTTCACACAGCTAGTAAGTGTTATGTGTCTGAGGCCATATTTGAACTCAGGTCCTTCTGAATTCAGGGCCGGTGCTCTATTCACTACGCCACCTAGCTGCCCCCCAAATCAAGACTTTACACAAAGAAATTAACTACAGTAGGTCCTAGTTAATGTTTCTAGCAAGACAAAGGGAAGGGGAGAAAAAAATGGACATTTATATGCTTTTGTAAAGCATGTAATATGAAATGGAGAGTCACATTTTCATACAAAATCCTCTTGGATTTTTCTGAATCCAAGGGAATCCTGGGAAATTTGTAGTTTCCTAAGTAGAAACTGTAAAAATTTCACAAAGACAGGGAGGAGATAGGGACAAAGAGGATAAAAGGTGTCATTGCCAAGTTTAGAAAAACAGCACTATTTATGAATATAAGTGATGGCTCTGGGGGCGGGAGAACAGATGACACAAAACAGAGTGAACACTGAAGGGTCAGACAAATCCTGGGATTCTGCCCCAGTGGACAGGTGCTGATTAAGAAGAACAGATCCATGGTAGCTAGTTAGGGTTACAGCAGTTCAGTTGTCGCATAGAAATAACCAGAAACTTGTAGCTCAGACTTCTAAGAGAAAGGTCTCAAACATACTCAGGAAGGGCAGGAGTCAGCAGAGAAAACTGCTCCCCCCAAGAGCATGTAAAGGATACAGAGAAGCCAGGATTCTTTACTTTCACAATATTTGACCTGACCCAGATACTGAAGCATCCACAGATCACATTTCAGGAATGCTCTAGTTTCCTCTTCCTAAGTAGCATAGCTCTCAGGCTTTTTTTCCTTGCTTTACCCTTTCACAAAGTCTTGTTCCCTAAAGAATGGAAAGAATGGTAGACTTGGGGATCAGGAGGAGTCTGGGTTCAAATCCTGCCTCTGACACTTGCTGACAAGAAAGACACAGAATGGAACTAATAACACCTGTAGAATCTACCTCACCAGGTTACCTGTGAACCTTAAACCTTTAAATTTGACATATGTCATTTATCATTATCATTATTCTTGTCATGATTTTCCCCTGTGACCAGACTGAAGCTCAACAGGAACATTCCAAAATTCAGCAGAGGTGCTATCTTGACCTCATGGTCGAATCTGCTTTTATAACTTCATCCTTTTCCTCAGGGTCCCTTCCTTGTACCTTACCTTTCACCATTCATTTAGCTAACTGCCTACTCCATATGAGGCTTTGTGCTAGGTGGAAGGAGTGATACACAAATTCATTAAGGCTCTCTAGGAGTTTACAAGAAGGAAGCCCTCCGAAGCCAATTTGAACAAATTAGTATGGCACCATCCTCCAGTAGGCAGTGTTAGCTTGTACAAAATATGATTCTAATTTTCCACATGGGGGTGAGGGCAGGGGAGGAGGAGGAGGACAGGAAGGAGAAGAAGGAAAAGAAATAGAAAGTAGAAAGGGATTTTGGGTTTTCTGGTTTCTTATCATTAACAAACACATCAAAAGGGGTTACTGGTATGGACAATATGGGGCTGTCAGTCTGGCAGAGCAAGGAAATGTATTTTCTTGCTTAGGGAAAATCCAGCAAAAAATATCAAAAGAACCACGAACCCATAGTCAGGCGTACATTGGGGTTTTGGAGTGGCAGTGAAGGAAAAGATGACAAAGTGAATAAAGAGAGTCTCAAGTATGTTAGTTTAAGTGAGTTTGATCAAACAAGATGTTCCTGTTATTTTGCCTTTGGTGTACATAAAACAGGAACACACTGTTAGAGAATATAGAGAACACAATACAAAATACATTATTCAGCTCCAAAAACAAGGCTTAGTTAGAAAAATCTGAATCCCAAGAGGCTTAGTGAGACAATCTAAATCAGAGGAGTTGTTTCTGAAGCCATTTTCTCCCACCTCCAGGAATTGTCCAGGTCAGTCTCCCAAATGCAAGTTCTCTTCCTCCTTGTTAAACCTTTCTTTTCCAGTTTAAGCTAAGGAGGCACCTTTCCTCCCCAAAATCTTCTCTGACCCTCCCAGACAAAACTCTTCCTCCAGGACTGAACCTCTTGACCATCTTCCCCAAGCATTTACTCCCCCCTCACATTTTTCTAGAACATTTTGCCCAGATCTCTCCTTTGTCCCTCCCACACTCTATCTTGTATTATGTTTAATTGTGTATAGTCTTATCCACCCAAGTAAAGTAATCCCCAGAAGAACAGGGATTTTGTTGTTTTTCATATCTGCAATCCCAGGACCTAATCATTGCCTTGTCTGTTGAAGGTGCTAGATAAATGTTTATTGAATTAAATTGGTTGGGTAGATGACAGACTCAAAGAAAAGAGCTCCCCAGGATTAGAGAAGAGCAGATGCCCTAATTTTGTGAAAAAGGGAAAAGAAAAGAATCTGTGAACCAGAGGCCACTGAACTTGACTTCAATTTCTGCTAAAATTCTAAAATAGACAGTTAGTGAATACCTAGCAAAGGAAGTGGTGATTACAAAGATCCAATATGGCTTTATCAAAGACAAGTTATGCAAAAATAATATAATTTCCTTTGTTGACAGAGTTAATTGTCAACTAACTGGTAGATGGGGGAAGTGCTATAAATACAGTTTAACTAGATTTTAGCAAAAAATTAATAAAATGTCATACTATTCTCGTGGAAAAGGTGCTTACTAGATGGCCAAAAAAATTAGGACTTGGAAGTAGCTGAACGGTTTGTCTCAAAGAGCAGTTGTTAACAAGAACTAGCATTTATATAGTACTTAACAGGTTTGCAAAACATTTTACAAATATTGTCATTTTATCTTCACAACAACCTTGGGAGGTAGTTAGTTGTTATTATTATCATTCCCATTTTACAGATGAGGAAAATGAAGCAAATAGTGGTTAAGTAACTTGTCAAGGGTCACACAGCTACTAGCTGAGGCTGGATTGGAACTCAGGTCTTCCTGACTCCAGGCCTACTGTTCTATCCACTCTGCCATCTAGCTGTTAATGATTCAAAAGTAACTTGGCAGGAGGACATTTCTTGGCATTCTAGTAGATTGCCCCACCAGATCTGTATTTGGCCCTATGATGTTTATTAATTATATTTATTTATAACATAATTTATATATCATTATATATTAATTATAATTAACTTATTAATGATTTAAAGGCAGAGATGACATGCTTATTAAATCTGAAGATGACACAAAATTGGGGGGAGGGAGTGGGGATAATTAGAGCTAAAACAATGATGATTAACTGAATAAGGATTCAAAGAGATCTTGACTGGCTAGAGTACTAGGCTGAATTTAGCGATAGGGAATGGACTTCATCGATACAG